TTCTCACAATGGTTAAAAGACAAAGTGAGACCAAGTTATGGCATCGACAGTGTGGATCAAGCTGTAGTACATCTAGGGAATGGTCCTGAAGATTTTGTGGCAACTTACCAAGGATATGACATTAATGGTTATACATTTTACACTAATAAACAAGATGGAAAAAGTACACTTCAAAATAGTGGTGTAACAGTAATAGCCTCAACTGAAGTATATGGAGATAGTCATGATACAAGGGTGAGGATCGCCAATGAATCATACTATGGCGTCATTCAGGAAATATGGGAATTGAAATATGATTCCATCATTATACCTATGTTAAAATGCAAATGGGTTGACAACCAACGAGGTGTTAAATTTGACAATGATGGTTTTACAATTGTTGACCTTTCCACAAACGGATATGTATCAGAACCATTCATCCTAGCTAAACAAGCTACTCAGGTATTCTATGTTGAGGACCCAAAGGAATCGGGAAAGCACATCGTTATGCATAGCAAACGACATATACTTGGTGTTGATGATGTTGTGGACGAGGAAGAGTACGACCAGTTTGATGAACTACCCCCATTATCTATCGGCATTCCATCTTCAAATGATGATGTTGATGACACCACTTACTTACGGTCAGATCACAATGAAGGAATATGGATATCATAACCCACACCTCGGGAAAAAATGAAGAGGATTTGAGTGAGGTCTCAGACAAAGATATGATTGACGATGAGACGTGTCATTATATAATATGTTTTAGCGTCGTTTGAATTTTAATTATTTATGTTTGTATTAATGTTTTAGTTTGAACATGTTTCCATGAATGTTTTTTTTATTTTCATTTGGATGTTTAAGACTTAAGTTTCTAAAGTTCGGATATGTTTGCATCAAGAATTTTTTCATGTTTAATTATCAAATTTATTTATGGAATCTGACCCACGAACCCAAATATGGCCCACGAACCTATGAACCCAAATCTGACCCACTAACTTATGAACCCAAATCTGACACAAGAACTTGCCAACCCGTGAACTTATATAAACATGTGGGTTGACAGGTCATATATGAGTTTATATTCTAAACCTGCCAACCCATGACCTTTATAGTTAAATGGGTTGTGTTCGGGTTGGTATATTTTGACTCGCTAACCCGCAACCCATCAACTCGATCACGATACGATTGTCAGCTCTACTTTTAATCATATGGTGTTGTTTAGGAAAAGAAAACTTAGGCGTTGTTTGGTTCATAAAATGTTGCTAATAGAATTTGAACTGGAATTGGAAAAGGAATCTGTCGGCAATTTAAATCCAATTCCATATGTTGTTTGGCTGGCATGACATGGAATTTGACTTAATTCCAAATTTTGTTTGGTTTGTAGAAAATAGAATTGGAATTTATGTAAAATGACAAAATTACATGCGGGCAGACTTACCACTCATTTCCAGATCCTCATCCGAGCATCCTTCATGAGGATTTGGGTTTCTGGGACTATCGTAACACATGCATGCCCTTGGGCCCAACCCATCATACAAATGCAAGAGTCACAAAGACATCTAGCATTTTACATAACATTTTACAAGCTCCTTCTCGTTCAAAGCTTCTAAATCTTCAAGCGTCTTCAAATAATGCACCAAAGACACACACTTTAGCCTCAAACACACTCAAAATGGGGGTTAGATCGATTAGGGTTTGCTTATGGACGCAAAAATGTGATAATGAGGCTGGAAGGAGGACTTAAGGTCCTTTAAATATGGAGCAAGCTCTAAAAATTAGGGTTTTGATACACAGCCTCAACTCATCGAGTTTTTCTTAAAAGCTCGTCGAGTAGAGAGCTTCCTTCACGTCGAGTTTGTGTACATCAACTCAACGAGTTGCCGAAGAAAATTGCCTTTTAAACCATAAATCTTATTCCTAAAAATCGGGATGTTACACACACACACACACACACACACACACATATATATATATATATATATATATATATATATATATATATATATACACACACACACACACATATAAATAATAATCAAGTAACCCTCTTTTGTTAACCTAAAAAGATTACAACTATTGATTCTAACCACTTTATCATCTTTATTAATGTATAATGGGAAATGCAAGAATTACAATTCCTTCGACCCAGACATGCGATGATCTTTCCTGAGCCTAACAACCACTCTTACAATGGGTCTAAACCATATTGATTATACTCAAGCCAGGTCTAAACTCCCATTAAACACTTATTCTCTTAAGATCTCTTCGTCCTGAGCTAGCTCCTATTAGGAATCTTGGAAAGCGTACATATCTGCCTGTAGCGTGTTATACCAAGTCGGGGGTCCGGGGGTAGTGCCCCAGGGTCCGGGATTTCCAAAAGGGCGGCGCCCCTTTGGCGGGGTCCAAGGGGCAGCGCCCCTAGCGGGGTCCAAGGGGCAGAGCTCCTGGCTGGGGTCACGCTACTATTTTACATGGCGGAACATAGTGAGAAATTCAAATTCTTAAGGGTGACTTGCTTCAAAAGCAACTCATGACAACCCAACAAACCCTACTATTTCTAACAATGGACCGATTCCCGATTGTTCTCATTCGACCGGTTCCCAATCCGGTTCGAGACATGTACGTATAAAAGATGGGTTTTAAAAAAAATAAATATTACTTGTTATTTTTTTTTGTCAAATCAACACATTATTTTTATAATGATATATATTAGAAGTTCAATAAACAAAAGGTATCCATTGAAACTTATATAAGAATATAAAAAGTCGAGTTTGAAAATTTTAAGTTACTTAATTAATGAAACATATACCGTAAAAAAAAATTAACCATTTACTTTTCAGATTGGGCACTGATTTTTCCAAAAAAATTATTGACATTTCCACGGAATAGTTAATATGTGGACAATTATGTCCCTCAACCCATTTATACTCCCTTTTATGATTTTGAAGAGAGGGAAAGATTAAACCATATATCCCTTTTTTATGGAAAAAACTTACCATAGGAAATCTATACTTTCTTTCTCTTTTAAAAAATTTAAAGAATTGAAAACTATATCCCTTTTTTTAAAATTCAAGCTCAACAATGTGGTGTCCGATACATAAGGGGATGTGATCCTTGGGCTTTATTTAAGGTATTTTACACTTAAATAGGTTAGGGTATAATTTTCTTTCCATCAATTATTCAGTGGCAACATCAAAACAATTAAGGGGAAAAATCAGCACCCTTTCAAATTTGGCTGATATAACTTTTGGTAAAGTTTTGGGAGATCCCGCCATGGGAATTGTACAACCCGCCACAAATTTTGGGTAAAATCAAAAGGGAATATGACTTATCAAGGTAATTAACTTTTCGGTATGTTCACATCTGGGTAACTATCTTTTTTTTGTACATATCTAGGTAACAAACTTTTTGGAAGTGTTCACATATGACCATTATGACCTGCTATAGCAGGTTAAATCCTAGATGTGAACTCTTTCAACAAGTTTGTTACCTAGATGTGTACAAAAAAAATAGTTACCCAAATATGAACAAAATGAAAATTAAAAATTAAATTACATGAATGGTCCCTATGGTTTGGGGGAATTTGTGGTTTTGGTCCCTAATTTATTTTTTTTAACTTAAATGGTCCCTACTATTTATTTTTGTTGCGTGTTTGGTCTCCGTCTTACCTAAAAATACTATTGTGCCCTTATTAATTTATTTTTTTAATTAATTTTCTTATCTATGTATTTATTTTATACATATTTAAAAAAATTAATAGACCACACATATTTGTATCTTCTCGGATGATCTCTACTGTTTATTTTTAATTAATTTTTTTTTTTAACTTGGATGATCCTTACTGTTTATTTTTTTTACGCGTTTGGTCTCTGTCTTATGTAAAAATACTATTTTTCCCTTATTAATTTTTTTAAATTAATTTTCTTATTTATGTATTTATTTTTTATAAAAAATTAATATACCCCACATATATGTATCTTATCACCGTAAACCTGAAACCACATTTGAGAAATTTAATTTGAGTCTTACCATTCACCATCTCATCTCTGATCCTCCCCATCTTCTATTTCTTTTCCATCTTTAGTAACATCAACGTCTTCACCGTCCTTTTTTTTTGGTACTTCAACTCTGGAGAACCAACACCATAACCTACTGTCTCTTCATATTTAGTGGGTTGTGGTGTTTTTCGACGGAGTTGAAGGACCGAAAAAAGAAGTGATGATGAAGACGTCGATATCACTAAAGATGAAAAATAAATAGAAGTTGAGAATGATGAAAGATGGGATGGTGAGGAGATACAGATATGTGAGGTCTACTAATTTTTCTTAAACATATAAAGCATAAGTACATAAACAAGAAAATTAATTAAAAAAATTAATAAGGGCACAATAGTCTTTTTAGGTAAGACAAGACCAAGTTCGTAACAAAATTAAATAGTAGGGACCATCCGAGTTAAAAAATTAAATTAATTAAAAAATAAATAGTAGGGATCATCCGAGGAGATACAAATATGTGTGGTATATTAATTTTTATAAATATGTAAAAAATAAAAATAGATAAGAAAATTAATTAAAAAAAATAAATTAATAAGGGCATAATAGTATTTTTAGGTAAGATGGGGACCAAATGCGCAACAAAAATAAACAATAGGAACCATTTAAGTTTAAAAAATAACTTAGAGATCAAAACCACAAATTCCCCCAAACTACAGGGATCATTCATGTAATTTAATTTTTACTTTTTGTTTTGTTCACATTTGGGTAGCTATTTTTTTGTACACATTTAGGTAACAAACTTGTTGAAAGCGTTCACATTTAGGATTTAACCTGCTATAGCAGGTCATAATGGTCATATGTGAACACTCCCAAAAAGTTTGTTACCTACATATGTACAAAAAAAAAAAGATAGTTACCCAGATGTGAACATACCGAAAAGTTAATTTCCTTGATAAGCCATATTCCCAAAATCAAAACCCCAAAAGACGTTTTCACTGCTTACACCTCGCATTCTCTTCGATGCATAACCAACCGGCGATTTCACTAGCTACCACAAAATCACGGGAACACCATTGTGCGACGATTCCTCCTCCTGGTCCTTATCTTTTCCTCGATTTCCCCTGTCCCCTACCTCATATCAGCAAGTTGTTAAGTCTGCAGGTCACGAATTCATTGCTAGGGCAGCAGTCTTCGTATACACGACTCACATCTCTATTGCTCCTCTTTTTGTCACTGCTAACATCTTCCACTCTTGCAAATTGTAAGTTTTATATGTTGATATTTGATTTCTGAATGTTTTACCAGAGGGGTTTACTTAGGTTTTGTAAAATCGTTGATTTATATATGCATGAATCATGTACTAATGCTGTTTTAAACGAGAATACATGAGAACAAAACAGGAACTTGAAGGATTTTGTTAGAAATTTATGGATGTATGTATCTATGTATATATCGATCGTGCCTAGCATTCCAATACACTGATACATCCTTGATCCTTGAAAATACTAAGTTCTTATTTTGTGGTTATCTGGTTTATGAATTTCTTTTTTAATCTATTCAACTTTGATATGTTTATTTCTTGAGAAAATTGTAATTTAGTGTTTAAGTACTACAATTTAAATTTGTTGGTATTGAACATTTGAAATTGTATATTAAGTGTTTGTGAAACGTCTTCAATGAGGCTTCATATTTTTTTGAAAGTAATTTTTAATTATCATGTGAAGTTTCATATTTTGATATGTAAGTTCTTTTACTTTTTCTTTTTGTAATTCATGTAGTGATCTTTTACATCAGTTTTTTATGCTATAGGTCTAACTACAAATTGTAGTCTTGAAAATTTGCATGTTAAGTATTTGTGTAAAGTGCTCGGTGAGATTTGAAACTGATAAAAAGTGGACATTATTTTTTTCCCGAATTATCACTAGTCGAGTATATTATACGATTAGCTTATTTATCTTTTTCTGCATAATTTGAACTAAATTCCTAATTCCTATGTAAATTGTAAGCTTAGCATTTCTATATGGCCTTGTACATACACACCAAACACATGTATAGTAGTGTGTACATTTATATACACATAAACATGTTTGGAAGGAGAAATACACACAAAAATGCATAACCATAGCATTCTTTTTTAGTTTAAACTTATCACTTGATGTGTTTTTTCTTCTTCATGTTTTGATGATTTTTTTTCACTTGTTACTATTTTATAAGAGAGTTATTGGTGATATCATGTTGAATTGTTTTTGTACTCTATTCAGGTTGGTGGTTGAGCTATTTGCAAATCATCTACAATAAAGATGATGAATGATCAGCCACAACAACAACCGGTACCACAACCACAACCGAGGAAAAAAAGAACAACCACACGTCTAAAAGATATAATAGAGCCACAAGAAGTTGAATTTAATAGTCTTGGTCAGCATTGTGGCGCTAATCAAAATAAGTTTGCCAATGACTGCGGGGCTGTTACGAGAAAGTTAATTTCTATCGAATATCCGACTTGGAAAAAAGTGCCAGCAAATGAAAAGGAGAACTTATGGTTGACCATCAAGGTTTCTAATCTAATACACATTACATGTGTTTTCATTTAATAAATATATGTTACTGATAGTTACTCTTTAAAAAAAAAACAAAAACAGAAACGTTGGAATATCCATGGTGAAAACCGCAAAGCATATGTGCTTATGACTTGCAACCACAAGTGGAGATCATACAAAAAGAGGCTTAAAAAAATTTTCTTGGTCAATGAGAATGAGAGAAATCCACTTGAAACCTACTCATATCTGGAAAAGACAGCATTGCAAAAATTTAAGGAAAGGATATCATCAAAGGAATTCCAGGTTTATAGGATATAATGTCTCTTGATGATATTAATCATTATGTTCCAGTTTTATAATTGTGATTGTTGTTTTTATCGGCAGGATATAAGTGAGAAAGCAAGGATTAGTTCAATGTGTAATACGAATCCAGCCCGAGTAGGCCCACATGGTTATTGGGGCAACAAACCTAAGTGGGAACAAGAGAAGGCAGCGGGTTAGCTGCTGTCACAGCTGTATGAGATAAAAAGCGAACGTTCACTAGACTATGTGTTGGGGAGAAGATCTAAAAATGAGTCAGGGTCAAAAATAATACCACATAACATGGAACCCATAGTAAAAAAGCTTGTAAGATTGTTCTTAATTTTGTTTTTTAAAATTTATTAATATTTTTTTGTCTAAGTAATTGTATTGACTATTATGTTGTTTGCATTAACAGATAGATGTTCAAAAAGAAATATCCAATGGTGATTTGTTGTCGGGTCCTGGAGAAGATTTGTTGACTATGGCAATAGGACCGGAGCATCCTGGTGGCACTAAGGCGGTGGGGCATGATATCGGCTTAAGAAAGGGGATGCAAGGACTTGACAAAAAAAAAGGAAAGCCGTGGACAAAGAACTTGTTAGTAAAATGCAGGTCTAATTAGATGAAACTGTGACCCAATTGGTAGATTTAAGAACATTGTTTGCGATACAAGGGTCTAGGAACCAAGTCCCAAATAATGTATGCTTCGGTGTTCAAAACAATAGGTCCAGTTAGTTGAAACTGTGACCCAATTGGCAGAGTTAAGAACATTGCTTGCGATGCAAGTGTCTAGGAACCAAGTCCCAAATAATGTATGCTTCGGTGTTCAAAACAATAGGCCTGGCTCGACGTCGACATTGGATGGTTTAGATACGATAAAGGTAACTCTTTATTATAGCATCAACCTTTAACAACTAATAAAATCCATAACTTAATGAGTTAGTTTATTTATTTTTATCACTAATTCTAGTTGATTACATAAATTTACTATAATTATATGGTACAAGTTGGGAAAATAGTAATAAAATTCACTTGTTTCTTGTTTCGGGCTAAACAAAGTATGAAAATAGATACATAATTGAGTTAGAGTTGATGACTAATCATAGTGTTCTATAATGTTCAAGTGTTTCAAAAAAGCTATAAAGTATTCCCTTGTATGTGTTATGTATTTGTTGTACGGATCAAACAATAAAACTAGATAAATAGAACTTGTGTAAAAATTGCATAATGGTCCTTATGTTACAAAAATTATAGAAATGGTCCTTGTAATTTTTTTCTATAGAAATAGTCCCTGTAAGTTTTTTTTACAGTAATGGTCCCTGTAAGTTTTTTTTTATAGAAATGGTCCCTGTAAGTTTTTTTTACAGAAATGGTCCATGTAAGAAACAATTACGAATCCTTGAATTTACAAAAGAAGGCACTATGCAGAAAAAATTACAAAAAAGGTACCTCTAATGTATAGAAATGCAAAATTTAGCATATTTATTTTTGTTTTAATGTGTTAGGCTTATGTTTTTTGAATTTCTTGATATCATATTACTTTGAACTTTGCTGTTAAATTATGTTTTACATCGAATTTTCTAACTTATTAACACATGAAATACACTACATGTTATATGATTGCAGGTTATTACTCATTGTGATTTGATGTTACCTTATCGTGATATGAACCAAAAATTTGCCAGAGGGATGGTCTTTCCTTATAGTGATGGGTTAATTCACTCAGTTCCTTTACGCGAAAATCACTTGAAGGTTATGATTGACAACATAGATGAAAGATATAAAGGTATTCCTGTTCCTGTGATGACAAATGAAGTTGGTATCCTAGAAGATGCAGTTGGCACGGTAATTCAATGGCTGCGGACCGCAATTGTTCTTAGTAAGGTACATCTTCATTATCCTTTAATTTTTTTATCTACCATATATACATTTTCTGAAAATGAGAGAATTCTCTATATGCTCCTATTAAACATCAAAATATTATATTTAGGCCGGAAAATAAAATATTTTGATGTTTAAGAATGGTATATACGACATTCTTGCTAATTAAAATGAGTTATTAATAGGAACAACAAAGCAAGGTGCCATTACAACAACAAATTCAGACCACAAGTGCGCGACCATCAACTGCAAAGGCTGTTATGGAAAAAAATATGCCTAACCAAAAGATCAACAAACCAAGGCCAATAGAATCACTTCGTGACCTTTTGAAGACCAACCTAGTGGTTCATGTGGTAGCCGATGCTGGACATCTAGAAGCTGGGGCGTTTGATTTTTCAGTTACATATGAAGATTATTATCGTTTGTTGAAAAAACAAACAACTAATTTGTCCATCATAACAACTTGGCAGATGTAAGTGCATTCAAATTTCACTATTATTTATTTCCATGATATTTTCTTTTTAGGCTGCTTATAAGATATGACTTGATTGTAAATTTTTTGTAATATTGTTTGTAGCCTTCTACACTTAATGCTTCAGAAACGCATGGGAAAGTGTGCTTTCCTAAACCCGTATAAGATTCTTGGAAAAGCCTGTCAGGAAACTCCGATTGATGTCGTCAATTATCTTGTTTGATTCAAAGGAAAAAAAAGGTTTGATGAGAGTTCAAGTAGTGAAAAAGTTTGATTTACAGTTGAAGAGAATTTTAGAGTTAATTATTTCTTATACATTGTTGATCAAGTTATTTCTTCTCTTGAGACAAAATTTGAACAATTCAAAGAGTATGAAAAAGTATTTGGTTTCTTATTTCCATATAATTTGAGGGGAATTGAAGATAAAAATCTTAAATTGTCTTGTCATCATCTTGAAAAAGCACTCAAGTTTGAAGAAAGATCGGATATTGATGCCGATGAACTTTATACAGAGTTGAAATTATTTTAGACTTTGGAAACCAATGAATTTAGCAGCCCTGTAGATGTTTTAAAGTTTTTGAAAAAACTTGATTATTTCCCAATGCATGCATTGTATATAGGATTTTGTTGACTATTCCATTAACGGTGGCATCAACATAAATGAGTTTCTCAAAATTGAAGTTTTTGAAATTTTACTTACGCTCCACAATGACCTAAGAAAGACTAAGCGGTTTGGCGATGATATCTATCAAGAGCGAAATCTTAGAGAGTATAGACTACAAAGAGTTAATCAACCAATTTGCAATCAAGAATGCTAGGAGCACTTCACGGGTAGTCGGTTAGCGTTGTGATATGTAATTACTTATTAAAATATTATGATTTTGCTATGTTTATTGTTTGAATGTTTATCGTCGTTTTAAAAAATATCAATTTATATAATTTAATTCGTTACACGTTAATGACTAAGGGTCTTTTTTCCACCTCATCCCAGGCATTTGAATCCTCAGAACCGACCATGCTAAAAGACACGTTAGAACGTACACGCCATAGATGGTTGACCAGGAAAATAAGCATCATAATCAACAGAAATGAGTTTCTCAAAATTGAAGTTTTTGAAATTTTACTTATGCTCCACAATGACCTAAGAAAGACTAAGCGGTTTGGCGATGATATCTATCAAGAGCGAAATCTTAGAGAGTATAGACTACAAAGAGTTAATCAACCAATTTGCAATCAAGAATGCTAGGAGCACTTCACGGGTAGTCGGTTAGCGTTGCAATATGTAATTACTTATTAAAATATTATGATTTTGCTATGTTTATTGTTTGAATGTTTATCGTCGTTTTAAAAAATATCAATTTATATAATTTAATTCGTTACACGTTAATGACTAAGGGCCTTTTTTCCACCTCATCCCAGGCATTTGAATCCTCAGGACCGGCCATGCTAAAAGACACATTAGAATGTACACGCCACAGATGGTTGACCAGGAAAATAAGCATCATAATCACAAAAATTTCACTGTGGATGATTTCGTATACGTACAACTTCAAAAGTATCGAAAAAAGACAGCCACAAGAAATCTCACAAACTCGCAAAGCATTTTTATGGCCCTTTTCGAATTTTGGAACGAATTGGGAAAGTAGCTTACTGCTTAGAGCTACCAACAGGCTCAAAAATACACCAAACCTTCCACGTTTCACTTTAACTCCTTGTGTGGGTGAACATCATATCTCGTTGCTCCTTATTGATGAGGCTAATCAAAACAATGAAGTTCCCTTCATTCCAGAAGAGATTTTGAGTACTCGACCACAAACACCTGGCAATTATGAAATTTTGGTTAAATGGGCAAATTATGACATATTAGAAGCTACATGGGAAAGATTGGGAGAATTTTGTGTTCGTTTTGCATAATTCTATAAAGGCCACCCGAACTATAGAGCCTTGAGGACATGGTCGTTGTCCAGCAAGGGGGAGTTGATATAGTCCACCTTCCTACTCCAGCTTAATTCACAGAAAGGCCAAAACGAGAAAGACGCCCACCTGCATGTTTATTGGATTAATCATTCATTCATTTGTGATGCCCTACAATCTCGTGGGGAACAAAGTCAAACAACCAGTCCCATGTTTTCCTTTTATTTTACTGCACAATTAGTTGTTTCCTTTGTTTATGTATTTGAATTCCTAAAAAGTAGAAGTAGTTGATAGTGAGTTTGTTTCTTTCTTTTTTTGAAGTATTTAAGTTTTGTAATTTTTTGTTGAGGGATATACAGAAAATTGCTCAAAAAATATTGTCTTTCTTCTTTTGAATTCTTGGGAGTTCGCGACCGAATCGAAGAGGTCGTATCAATGAGCATGCATGTACGTCTTATATTTTCTTTTAGAAAAGGATCAATTTTGTTAAATTTTATTAACACGGTTAATGGAAAACTCAAACAAAAACAAAAACAAAAAAATAAACTTTTTGGTTCAGTTTTGGTTGTAGTATAAAACCGAACCGAACCATGTTCATTCAATGTCATCAGTGGCGTATCTAAGATTTGTATGAGTTGGGGGCATACAAATATATTCAAATACCAAACTTTTTCTGGTTGGGTCATACTATATTAACTACCGACTATTATTAGTAATTACAAATTCTAGAAAAAAGTATAAAAGTCATAATATTTGAGTTGGGGACAATTGCCAAATACAAACAAAAAAGGGATGATTTTGGGTAATTTCCAAAAAATGGACTAAAGTTTCGAGCAGAAATTTTCTTGATTATTTATTGTTTTACAATGATGATAGCCCAATATGGGACCTAATAAAAGAACTTTTTATTTTTATTTATTTATTTTATATTAAAGGTAAATGGCACAAAAAAACACTCTTTTTATACAGAAATTTGATTTTGACACCGGTTTTTTTTTGTGTTAATTTTGACACTATGTTTTCCAATTTGTTACAGTTCTGACAACTTGACCGGTTAACCAGGTTATATGCTGACGTGTCAAAATAAAATTTTTTCTCACAAAAACCACTAAGTTTTCATTTTTTTTTTTTCGATTTTGACACTAAGTTTACTTTTTTTTTCTTTCAACTTTGACACTATTTTTTTTGTTCCAAATCGAACATTATTTTTTCCAATTTTGTTCAATGTTGAAAATTTTATATTTGAAACCATATAAATATTTTTTTAATACATTTAAACCGTATAAATATGTTTTTTTATTTAAAAATAATAGTTTTGTGTGTGTGTGTATATATATATATACACATTTACACTTAAACCATATTTTTATGTATAAATATATATTAGTTATATAAAAATTGTATTTTATATTAAATATGTAACTTTAAAATGTGTTTGGAGGTTTGGAGGCGTGTAGTCGATCAAAACTCGGATATCAAGTTTGCAACCCATCAAAATTTTACATCTTATTAGAAGCTTATGATTAGTTTGATTCTCATGATATAACTAATGCTTTTAATGTAAGAAAAAACACATTGTATTTAAATAAAAATGTGGTTTTTAAACGAAAAAAATATGTTTATACGGTTTACAATGTAATAAAAAAAATATATTTATACGGTTTCAAATGAAAATAGACAAAATTGAACAAAATTTGATAAATGATGTTCGATTGGAACAAAAAAAACATAGTGTCAAAATTGAAATAAAAAATTAAACTTAGTGTCAAAATCGAAAAAAAGTGAAAACTTAGTGTTTTTTGTGTAAAAAAAAAAATCAATTTTGACACGTCAGCATATCATGTTAGCATGCCACATCATCATAATTGACACGTCATCATACCACGTCAGCATGTAACCTGGTTAACCGGTCAAGTGGTCAGAATTGTAACAAATTGGAAAACACAGTATCAAAATTGACACAAAAAAAACACTGTGTCAAAATCGAATTTCTGTGTAAAAAATATTTTTTTGTACCATTTACCCTTATATTAAACACAGTGTAGAAATTTCCCATCCATGGGAGCACCTGCCCCCACTCATCTCTACATGTATCCGCCCCAGCCGGTCACAAATAATTTTCTGAAAGTTTCATTAGATTTTTTGTAGTTTGAATTTGAATTCAGTTTATTTTTTTATCATATAAAACAAAAAATGAACAACATTCCACTTTTCTATCGTCCTTCTTCTTGAGTAATAGTCATTTGATTAATCTCCGATTTACTCAAAGATGATGGCAACCTCTCAATACTTCTTTTCGACACAAAAGCTGGTTCTTTAGGTTCCGGGAGGCTCTCAATATCCATCCCCAACATTAAAACTACATTCACCATTGTTGGCCGATCTCCAGGGTCTTATTGTATGCACAATAGCCCAACAATCATACATCTCAAAGCTTCAATGGAATTGCATGATTCCGCTAAAGCCAAATCCATTAATTCCAATACCCTTTTCGCTTTCCACAATTCCCACGACTGAAATGCATCCAAAATTAGTTTTATAAAAAATGTTGACACAAAAAACGGGTTTAAGAAGACTCACATAGGATATAAGGCTAAAGGCTTGTTGATTATGATAATTACCCGTGTTTCTTTTCCCACTTATAATCTCCAAGATAACTACTTCAAAACTAAAAACATCGGATTTTATCGAAAACCGCCCAACGCGTATTCGGGAGACATATAGCCGCTGTATAATAAAAACTCAAAAATTTTAAACATAATAAAAACTCATGAAAACCCAAATAAGATTATAATATTTTTTTTATCTACAAAAATAATATTGTAATTTAATCGAAATCGTGAAATTCTTTTAAAAATATTAATGTTATTAGAAATTGCTTAAATAAAATGGGTTATATACAAATTTTCATTCAATTCTCTGATGGAATGGAAAAAGAACGGCTAAGAAATGAAAATTAAAGAATTGAAAGAATTTCATTCTTACATGAATGATTTAATCTTTCCATTCCGTAAGACAAAAAGGACAATTTTTTTTTCATTCCTTCTCTAGTTCCAACATACCAAAAACACTACCTAGAATTACATAAAATTTATTAGATTTGAACACACGATTTAGATTCGTACTTACTAGGTTATCTTCAGTTTCTCGGCCTTTAACTATCTTTGCCAAACTGAAGTCTGAAATCTTGGGATTCATATCTTCATCTAATAACACATTACTTGCTTTCAAATCTCTATGAATAATCCTCAATCGTGAATCTTGGTGAAGATACAAAAGTCCTCGAGCAATCCCCATGATGATATCAAATCGTAAATCCCAATCAAGACACACAGAAAGGGTCTTAACTGCCAAAAATCCCATCAAATCCCAAGATTTTAGATTTTAGAGCTAAAGTTGTTCACAAAATGGAAAAAGAGATTGAGAAGTATGTGAAACTAACCAAAGATGAAACGGTCCAAGCTTTTATTATGCATGTATTCATAGAGTAGTATCATTTCATGATCCTTCATGTTGTAACCTAAGAGCCTAACAAAATTACGATGTTGAAGTTTCCCAATTAACACAACTTCATTTTTGAATTCCTTGAGCCCTTGTCCAGATTGGCTTGCCAATCTTTTCACTACCATTGGAGAATTCCCTAAGATAATTACCAACAACATATGATTAACTCTCCAAACTCCATTTTATATACATAATTAATTTCCCTTTCGCAGCGAGAACAACCTTTTACTAATTTGAATGTCAAACATTATTCATTGATTCCCATGAAATTTGCAAACATTTACATGGCATTGATTTGGATTCATAAGATTTCTTTAGGTGTGTATTCTTTGGAATAAGTCCAACAATTAAAGTCTCTCCTTTGGGAATCTCTTCCTTCAATCAAAGATCAAATACGATTGTAGACACAACAGTTTTCCCAAATAGCTTCTAGTATCTTTAATAAATATGATATTATGACTATATTTTGCATACTAGTTGAAAAGCTAGTTGCTAGTTGAAAAGCTAACCGATAGCTGAAAAGATAGCACTTAGCTAAAAAGATAACCGATAAAAAGTGACGTTTGGTAAAAGATAGATGATAAAAAATAACATTTGGTAAAAATTAGCCGACAAGTTAGCATGGAATATATAAAATGACATAAAAGGGAATTCAGAAGAATATTTTTTTATAATTAATTAAGGGTATATTTGGGAAAATTCTAAAAAACTTCTGAAAACTAGTTTATAAGCTACTTTTTTGTTTGTTAAATATGACAATTTAAAAAAGGTCAAAGAATAAGCTAGGTATGACACGTGAAATAACAGATACAAGGAGAATTCTCTATAATCTGGCATGTTACTAGGAGAAGGTCTTGGTGTAACATCCGGATTCCCAGGTATCTTATTTTTTGCATTTATATTGAGTTTTGGAGAGGGACTTAGCGAGTAGGCGCTCAGACTCGCCGAGTAGGATCGCGCATGGTCAGACTGATTTAATGGCGGACTCGACGAGTCCATGCGTGGACTCGGCGAGTCCACGCTGTTCAATGAAACCCTAATTCTCCGGGGCCTGAGCCCTATTTAAGGACCTTTTAGCCACCATTTGCGGCTATCAGACCCCTAAGAAACCCTAGAGAGTAGAGAGAAGGCTTGTAGTTCAAGAGGAGGGCTATTTCATGATTCTAAGTGTGATTTTGCAAGAAAGAAGGAAGGACGACAAACAAGGAAGGTTGAGGAGCTCAGATCTATCATCCATATAATCTGGCATGTTACTAGGAGAAGGTCTTGGTGTAACATCCGGATTCCCAGGTATCTTATTTTATGCATTTATATTGAGTTTTGGAGAGGGACTCGACGAGTAGGCGCTCAGACTCACCGAGTAGGATCACGCATGGTCGGACTGATTTAATGGCGGACTCGGCGAGTCCATGCGTGGAATCGGCGAGTCCATCCGTGGACTCGGTGAGTCCATGCTATTTAATGAAAACCTAATTCTCCGGGGCTTGAGCCTTATTTAAGGACCTTTTAGCCACCATTTGCGGCTATCAGACCCCTAAGAAACCCTAAATAGCAGAGAGAAGGCTTGTAGTGCAAGAGGAGGGCTATTTCATCATTCTAAGTGTGATTTTGTAAGAAAGAAGGAAGGAGGACAAACAAGGAAGGTTGAGGAGCTCAGCTCTATCATCCATTCATCATAGGAGGCTACTAAAGGTACTAATCTGTGCTCAAACTCGTGTATTTAGTGTTCTAGTTGAATTTAGGGTTTTCTTGTGCATTCTTTGGATTGGATTCGAAGTATGTGAGGTCCCAAGGTGGAGTTCTTCTTAGATCTGGACCTTAAGAGGTCTAGAGAGTCCCATTCACATTGCTTTTTGCTACTCCATTAGAGATATGGCCTTAGGTTGCCATTTTAGGGGTTATTTCACCCAAAGAAGCTTTTTAGTCATTGCATGAGTGTAAAGATCAGACCTTTACGTGATTATAGTGGTTGGTAAGGCTATATCTATGGATTGGAGGAACAGATCTGACCTTAGGAGGTCATTTGAGTTTGAGCATGGCATGAACTTGCCGAGTCTAAGAACAGACTCGGCGAGTAGGATAGTTTTCCCCCATGAATCACACAGTTGGTGACTTGCTGAGTTGAGGAAGTGAATCGATGAGTCATTAGGGATTTTGAGGACTTGAGTTCATGACTGAACTCGCCGAGTCATAATTGTGCACTCGGCGAGTCTGGTCAAAGGGTTGACCGTTGACTTTTGTTGACTTTTAGGGTTTGGTCAACAATTGGACTTGTGAATTGTTTGAAGGGAAAAATGGCCTTTTAGCCTTCTTAGAGGACGTGTGAGGATTTAGTCTAGCCTGGAGAGCCGTTATTAATTGAGATGATCGTTTATGTGTTTAGGCAGAGGCTAGATCAGTGTTACGCGAGCAAGATATTACCGAGACATCCGAGGTGAGTCTTCTCACTATACTTTACCTTGAGTAGGTAACCAGAGTTATGTGAGAGAGTATCTTGTATGCTATCTATGTGATGTGTTGCACTGCATTATTTCTATGTGATTTATGCTATGAGTATATCAGAGTTAGGATCGGAAGGTCCATAAAGCTAGGACCAGGGGGTCCACAGAGTTAGGGCCCAAGGGCCCACCAGAGCTATAGCCTTGAGTGGCTAATATGTGTTATATGTGGTATTTTGGGGAACTTTCTAAGCTTCTTTCTTACAGTGTTTGTGTTATGTGTTTCAGGTACTAGTAAGGATCGCGGGAAGGCGCTGGCATGATCAATACACACACACACGCGGAGCTTATTTATATGTTATGGTCTTGGGATTTTGACTTATGTGGAATATAAGAAACAATGTGTTTTATAATATTGTGAATTAAATTGTTTTTAAAATGTGAAAATTTGGTTGAAATTTTATGGCGTTACAAGTTAGTATCAGAGCCTTGGTTTGAGGGATTCGGGTACACCTTCGGGCGTATCTAAACTCAAACTGAGGATTTGAGAGATATTTTTCAAAAAGTGAAACAAAGTTTTCTAAAAGAGTAAAAGAATTTGAAAAGAGTAGAGCAGAGCCGTGTGTACGATCAGCCAGCGCCCGAACGGTGATTTCCCAAAATACCCTTATGTTATATGTTATGAGACGATATGATACGTTTTGCATGCTAGAGAAGGCTACGTATTCTATTAGGACTAGAGTGGCCTGATTTGTGATGCCTTAGCCTAGGGGTTGCAGCTAGGATATGCTTGAGAGGAGGTAGATAGCAGCGAGAGGCTTACGAGAGATCTGCTGGAGAGTAGACTATGCTTAGTGAGAGTAGAGTACTTGGAATCTGGGATCCTTGGAGGAGGACTTGGGGTGTATACTAATGCGGTGTGGACAGTAGTATTGGGCCCGTACTACTAAAGACACCGGAGCGGTGCACAATCCAAGTAAGAATCCATGGAACATCAGAGATCAAGTAGGGTAGAGTTATCGAGTGCGAGTATACTCAATCAAGTCCCTGATATTTTCTTATGTTGTATTTCAGAGACATCATGGTCAGGACACGCCTTACACCAGAGAGCAATGGTGCTAGTGATGAGGAGATTCGTAGGATCATTCACGAGGAGGTGGCTGCGACCATCAGGGCAGAGATACCAAAGATGTTTGGGTCTATCAAGACCATGCTGGTAGAGACTTTTGATAAGAGATATGCTGCTCTTTCTGATGCTGCTGTTGCTGCAGCCACTGCAGCTGTAGCTGCGGCTAGACCGTAGGGTGGTGATGTGTTGCTGTTCCAGGAGTTCAGCAACAGAAAACCACCAGAGTTTGATGGGACGCAGGATCTGATTGCAGCGATGAGGTGGATTTTGGACATTGAGGGGGTGTTTCTTCACATGCTCATGTCCAGAGCATTTGAGGGTTCGGTTCGCGCTAAACTAGCTTCGCTTGGGAGCGAAGGACTGGTGGAAGTTTGTGACGACACACTATTCACCTGCTGAGCTTGCTGTAATGACCTGGGAGACGTTCACCGGTATGTTCCGAGAGGAGTATGTTCCCCAGGTGGAGAGTGAGCGTTTGGCCCAAGAGTTTTTAATCCTCAAGCAGGGTACTGAGTCTGTTACAGTGATTACTAGGATGTTCCATGAGAGGGAAATGTTCTGCCCAGAGCACGTGTCTTCCGAGCAGGCACGTATGAGTCGATATCTGAGCGTTTTGAGGAGGGATATACGAGAGTTTGCAGGTAACTCGTCATACCGGACATTTTCCAAGCTTCAGGCAAATGCTCAAAAGAGGGAGATAGAGCTGGAGACTCATGCTAGGGAGGAGGCGGAGTCTCAGGGGAGGGACAGGCGATCGACACAGTCTCAACCAGCAGCCAAGCGGGCCAAGCCTGTCGATTCGAGGATAGGGAATCAGAAGGGTCGCACTTGTGGCAAGTGCGGTAAGAGTCATGACGGGATGTGCAGAGTAGGGTCTTGCTACAAATGTGGCAAGGAGGGGCATATTGTAACATCCCGAGTTCAGGAGTGCAAGTTCAAGGTGCAAAGTGTAAATATGGAAGGCTGACTCAGCGAGTCGATGGATAGACTCGGCGAGTTGAGTTGCGATTCTGGTCACACGTTAAGTGACCAACTCGGCGAGACGTAGGCTGGACTCGGCTAGTTGGTGTAGAAGAGAGAAAAACCCTATTCTTCGGGGTTGCATCCTATTTAAAGGACTTAATGTCCTCCCCTCAGTCCGCTTAGCCCCTTTTGAGGTCCAGAAACCCTAAATCCATTTGTGAGAGCATTGGAGAGCATTTGGAATCTTGATAAGTGCTTGGTGAAGAGATCTTTGAAGATTTAGAAGGTTGGAGCAAGGGGCTTTGCAGAGATTTGGTTCATTCTTCAGTTGGAGCTTTCATTTGAGGTAATAATCTATTGCTTAAGGTCCTTTACATCCAGATCATTTGTTGCTCGAGTTTTGTTGCATTTCTAGAGTTATTTTGGGTTTGGAGGTTGGATCTAAGGTTGCTACCTTAGATCTGGACTTGAGATGGTCCAGAAGATCATAAAGTTCTTGTCTTTGCATTGTTGGTGAAGCCTTCTTGTCCCAAACCCTAGCCCAAGAGTGTTTTATGCTTAGATCTCTTTGGATTCACATAAACTTTGCCACTTT